CATCGAAATTGAAATAACAAGCACTAGAAGAAAACTTAGAGGAGAAGATGGAAATTTAATTTTGCAATCGCTCTATAAAAAGAGCCAATCGAACCCATCATTTTTCTATAGATTGAGATTAAATAATGATGATCACATTCGGAGCATCTTATGGGTAGATTCTACATCTAGAGTTTCCTACCAGTGCTTTTCTGATGTGGTTACTTTTGATTCCACATATAAGACAAATACGTTTGGTATGCCCTTTGCACCTATACTTGGTGTAAATCACCATTTCAGTACAACTTTCTTTGGATTTGCCCTCATATTTAACAAATGGATATAATCATTTATATGGGTATTTGAAAACTAGTTGGAAGCCATGGGTGGATGGCAACCAAGTGTTATTCTCACTGATCAAGATCCTGCAATTTCATATGCAGTGAGACAAGTTCTTTACCAACGTAAGCATCATTATTGTAAGTGACATATATTTGCAAAGATCAAAGAAAAAATGTGTCATGCCTTGCGTATGCATCATTCTTATTCAGATACCTTTAGGAGGTGTATGTCTAGCCCAACAATTGAAGAATTTGAATTGGTATGGAAATTCATGATTGAGAATTATAAGCTGGAAGACAGCGAATGGCTCAGTAGGTTTTATGGTTATTGCATGCAATGGGTTGATGCATACTTGGCTGGCATGTTCACTGTGGGTATGACCTCTACTGAAAAGCATGAAGGGATCAATACACACTTCAAGCTGTAGTTAACACCCACAACAAGCATGCGTATATTATTAGAAGTTGTTGCAAAAAGTCCACGATAAGAAGGTGTGAAAAGAGACGAAAAATGACTTGAAAGATGTTCAAACTACTCCAGTCTTGCAAACAACCACTTTCATTGAGTCACATGTATCAAAAATCTATACTCAAAATATTTTAAAGATATTTGGGGAAGAGGTGGCTAATTGTTTTAATTTTAAGAGAGAGACAGTTGAACACTATGGACAGATTGCTACCTTTAAGGTGGCAGTCTCGGGAACCGGATCTAGACCCTACTTAGTGAAATTCAACTGTCATGATAATTTCATTTCTTGCAATTGTCACTTCTTAGAGAGGATGTGCCTTCTTTGCAAGCACGTACTAAAGATTTTTATGGTGAAAGATGTGTTTGAAATCCCTCCACAATATATAATGAGAAGTTGGACTGAGGATATAGAGAATGGAGTTTTTTTAGATGACATTGGGGAACAAATTCAAGTAATATCTGAGCTACCATGCTCCATTAGATATAATGAAGCTATGGAGGCAAGTCAATCACTTGCCGAGTGTGCTTCACAAAGTGTAGAGGGCCATGAGTTTGTAATGTCCATAATACAAAATGTAATTCATCAGTTTGATGAGAGTTTGTGTGCAAGAGAGGTCTACAGAATAACGCCATGAGCATGTCAATGAAGATGACAATTCTGCTAGTTGTAGTAACACACCAAGTATAAGTAACCTTCATTTTCGCCTATAGGCTTTTTGTAGTATCTTCCTATATATATATATATATATATATATGGAAAAAAGATAGAGTGCACAACCTAATGTAGATAAGCTAAATGCACCAACGGCCCAGATTGAATTTGGGCCGATCTGACGATCATGGGTGCCCAGTAGTGTTTGAATTTTTAATTTTTTTTCGACAAATCCAAATCACTTGAAATTTTATGCGTGTGTTCTTCAAAAATATGCAAATCTATGAAAAATATTTTACAGGAAATAAATTGACCAAAATACCACAAAAACTTTACGGGAGTATTTTTGTTATTTTTCATATAAAATATTTGTTTAATACTTTCGTAGATTTACCTACTTTTGAAGAACACACGCTTAAAATTTCAAGCCATTTGGATATGTAGAAAAAAAATTAAAATTCAAACACTACTGGACACTATCGGACCCGGCACCCATGATCGTCAGATCGGCCAAGATTCAATATGGGCCGTTG